CTGGACTTCCCTGAACTTGCAGACTCGAGTCCTCAAGTGGACTCTCTGCGGACTTCCAGAGGTGGATTATAGCGTCAAGATCTCAGCATTCCTTGAGCCTGATTCATACTTCACTATCAAATCTACGCGTACCCTGTAGCCTACACCAACGGTCTGCAATAGGCGGCCCGCGGGCCACAACTGGCCCATCAGCAATAATATCTGGCCCGCGGCCAGACTGCTTTGATCGCAGAAAAATAAAAAATAAACTGATGGCGGCTGAAATAGATCTCAGTGATGGCCACTGCAGTTACTCACATAATCACTTCCTCCTAAGTGATTGTACCTCCAAAATAAAAGCGCGAGAATGTTTTTTGCAGCAATGCTTAATGTCGAGTTTGAGAGCTTTTACTTTGAAAAGTTCTGAAGGACATTCAACAGAGTCTCTGGCCTGCTTGACACACCTCTGAAAAAGCCGTCAGTAAACGTGTGATTGGATTCCCCTGAATTTCCTCAGGGATATGAAAATTAGCATCCATGGGTTTATGAGTGCAGACCAAACGCCAGGATGCGCACTGCAGCACATGCTTTATTGTGAGCATGCAAAATTACGCCGTATGTTGGGATTGATCATACATCACCTACTGAGCTAAACGTGCACGAGTATCGTAGAATTTCAAATAGTTTGACCATGTTGACCTGACGCGCATCTTCCCAAAAATGTAACTACCCATTGCAGCGTCGCGGACCTAAAGAACTGACCGGTCGGCTCGGTAGCATCATTTCCTCCAGGCCTCCAGGAAGTGCTCCCTGTTTTCAGACGGCCAGTCCAGCAGCTTTTTTGCCCTTATTCAAATAAGGGCAGGGCTAAACCGAAAGTCGGCTGGCTCGGCCGGCAGAAGTCAGCACAATTTTACGATTTAACTAGTGTTTTAGTGGTTAGCTGCAGAACGCCATCGACTCGACGCAGAAGTATAAATCAGGCTTCAGTCTGCAAGTCCAGAGGGGGGGCATTTGAATTCAGCCCAACTGAAAAGTCCTTTAGAAGTTCGGGAGAAATGTTTGTACCCTGAAGACCTCCAGTTCATATCTGACACCAGAATCTGACTTTAATGTTTAATTCGTTGACAGAGGCGGACATTGGCATTCCCCCGGGCCCCGGACCCTCAGGGGCCCAAAGGCTCCAGGTTTACACTCTGGGTTATTTGTGCAGATGTGTATCCACTACTGAAGACATGATAAACTGAATTATAGGGAACTTCTGGTGTTATGACCTGAACGCGAGGCATTTGACAAACTAATCACTGACTAATACGGAGACATTCCACAGACACAGGGGGCCGGCAGGGGCCCACAGTTTGTTTTGTTGGTAGGTGGTTTAATCCAGCCCTGTTTTTGAGGAATGTGTTGAAACCACTTCTTACACTCGCTGCCTCGGTTTCATTTATTAAGCGGATTTCGCTCCAGCGCAGGTGAACGCAGATCTTGAACATCTTGAAGGCAGCTGGTTTGGCAGGTTGTCCAGGAAGTAGATTTGCAGTTAGCTACAGTAGCTAATCTAAGCTAAGGAGCTAACTTCTGTGTCCAGTTACACTCAGATGAGTTTCTGAAGGTTATTTGGACAGCTGTCGGAGACTTGTGCTGTTTTAATGGAGTTAGCATCAGCCAGAATCCAGCCAGAGTACACGCGACTATCAGAAAAAATACCAGAACTTTATTGGTCCAGTGTTTGGGTTCTGGGGGTCCCTTCAGCTTACACAGTGACGCCACGTTGTCCCTGCTCTTACCATTTCCTGAACCATGAATGCATCATGAAGACGACTGTAAGAGAAGTCTGAAAGGTTCTTTGTTTTTCGTCCTGGTGGCCTGAAAGACTCTAGTTAGCATGTGGCTAACGAATCTGCTGAAGAGGTATTTGTGTTCCCCTGGTAACGGGTACTTAATGAGATCCAGGATTTTAGTCTCCTCCTGTTGTCCTGGTTACGGAGAGGTAAACCTGCACTTCCTGTTAGCTCATGTAGCCATAAAAGCCTTCACTTCCAGTGCTCTTACCCTGTGTGTGTGTGTGTGTGTGTGTGTGTGTGTGTGGGGGGGGGGGGGGGGGCATGTGACAGGAAGTGGCTGAAGGGAAACGGAAAGTGAAACTGGGAGTTCATGTCGTCGACCTGCAGCATTGTTTTCTGTGTCAGAACTGAGCTGTTTGATGAGCGGCTGCTGGAGGCCTCGTGCTGCCTTCAGGTCACGTCAGATTTATTGTAAATACCAGCTGTAGACCTGAAAACACACCTGGTGCCTTGTGGTGATGATGGGGGGGGGGGGGGGGGGAGCAGCGCTGGCAACCCACCTGTCACTCAAAGAGGCTACGCCCCAATAAGGCTTAATATAATTTAAATTAGTTATAAAACCTGTTGTCACGAAGGAAAAACTGATCTTTACACTCTAAACATGTTTCTGCTGTAAGGTCAGCCACTTACCGTGGCCACCCGATGAATTGCACTTCCTGCTGACTTCATTCTGACATGACCTGAACGCAACATTGTAGCTAGCCACCAGTCAGCATTAGCTTGTGCTAACTTAATGGATATGATAAATGGCATTTAAATTGCCTAGCCAGCGAGCTAGCTGTCTGCTAGCAGTAGCATTTTTTACTGTAAGGCTGTATGGTAAAGTGTAATGTAAAGATGATGTCATGGCGTCCTGCTGAAGCAGGAAGTGATGTAAGCACGAAGTGAATGACTGTTCCTTTTGTGTGTGTCCTTTCAGAATAAAAGTCTAATGTTTATAGTGTTTAAAGCTCTTTTGTTTTTCTTTAACACATCAGAAAACTCACTTTAGCTGCCAGCGTTTGAGACATTAACAGCTGTGTGATGTTATTTTGAGGGGACAGCAGATTTACACTGTTACACAAGCTGCACGCTCACTACATTCATTTCTTCAGTGTTGTCACATGAAAAGATGGAATCAGATATTTACAGACATGTGAGGGGAGGACTCACTTTGTGAGATACTGTGTATAGATGCATTTGTAATGAGTGTGTAATATTGGGGTGAAGGTTCTGTGCAGCGTTGAGCTTCTCAGTGAGTTTCAGCAGCAGAGCTGATCAGAGCTGACAGAGCGGCAGAGACGGACATGATTAACATTCTTCTCTTTATCTCTCACATTAACGTCCAGCCGACTGAATCTTCTCTGAACGCACGAGGAGACCAGGAAGCAGAGTTACTCCGGCGCTCGCAGAGAGAACGCAAACGAGCAGAACACGTTTAACCACCGTAATGTCTCCATCATGGGGTGGGCGGGTCCAGTTCGTCAGACGCCAATACACTTCATACCGTCACAACTGAGACAGCGGCAAAAGTCTGAACCCGTGGAACATTAATAACTCGTTCACAGAGACCAAGGAGAACAAATACTGTAAATACAAGTACTTCCTGTTCTGCCCTGAGTAGTGTCTACAGGTGTTCATCCATACGACCCCAACAGCCATCTTTAATGTCGTGACTTTACTGAAAAAGCAGAGTGGATAAAGGTTTGTGGTGGCAGCAGTGTTGGTCACTCTCTAAACAGAACAGGTCTTTAAAATCTAATTAGTTTATCAAAGTAATGAAACTTACTACATGTAATGGTTCCAGCTGTTTGACTGGCAGACGGGTGGAGAACCAATCAGAAGCCTCAGCTCACCTTCAAACGCTGTACAGGAAATGCTCAGATGTGATCATGAACATTTCCATGAGTCATTACATCACGTAAGTAAACGCCTCTCTCAGACTGCCTCTGAGTCGCTGTGGCTGTGAACGGATTCTGTAAACTTTATTGTAATGAGATTTAGATTTTAATAATTTAGACTTCGAGAGTCTGCACACAAGTGCTACGTGTTAAAAAGTTGTGTCAGCAGCTGTGTGGACGGATCCTGCTGGACGTCCCGTTCAGACGCCGAGTGTCATAAATCACTAAGCCTTCGGCTGACAGGCGTCCAGGTCAGACTCTTTCCAGTCACAGATTACACCGTTATGTAACAGGAAGTGACCTGAGCCCACACGCACGTTACTGCTCTGTTCCTCTGGTGTCGCTGCAGTCAAATCTCACATGTGACATCATTGATCAGCAGAAAGAATCGGGGGCTTCGTAGCGCTCTGACACTTTATTCACCAGGCTCATCTCACGCTGCTGATGCAGACAGACGGGGTTACATAAAGACCTGACTGTTGTGTAACTGAAAGGATCCTGAGCTGCAGCCTGCAGCGCCCCCTGCTGCTCACACTCAGCATCATCAGGCCAGGAAAAGGGGAAGGACATTAAACCAAATAAAAAGAAGTAAAATACCAACAGTTTGTTATAGGCTTCACTTTTGAGATCAACCAAGTCTTCTGTGTGAATATGGACAGACGGATGCTGCTTCAGCAGTAAAAAGGACTGGAAGTCAACAGTGCCCCCTGCAGGGCAGCAGACATCTCTGCACCCTGTAAGCCTTGTTTGGTCTATTCATCGTTTGTAGTTTGTCTGAATATACATCTGATTGGACCTTCCTCGTGCCTGACTGGCATCAGCTGCAGCTGGATTTTTTAACAATATATTGTAAGTGAACCGTTGCAACGTCCCTTCGGGGGTTAATGAAGTGCTGCCTGGAAAGAAGTCTGAGAAAATGTTTCTGCTTGTCAGCTGATTTATTCCCTCAGTAAACACTTTCCTGATGAGTTTCTGGTCGCTAGTTTCAAGTCTTCTTCAACACAGCATGATGTTCATTTAGTAAATGATGGTCCCATTTAGAGGAACAGAGACCAGGAAGCAGGGGAGGCTTTAGGGCGGGGCTACCTCCTGGTTCAAGATAGTGACATTTGTCTTATTCGAACCTGATTTTAATGAATGAAAGAAATCACAACATGCAGGCTGATCGAGGACAGAAGACAGATTTCATCACTTTCAGCTGCTCAGATGTTTCAGGAGTCAAGTTCAAGTGTCTTCATCATCAGAAGCCTCGAAGTGGCGAGCGGCGAAGCGCCAATCTGTAACGCCGTCTGTGACATCACTTCCTGTCGTTCTCTTCGATGAGTAGAGTCTTTGTTTCATTCTGCCAGTCCAACACCCCGTCCAGAGGACAGCGTCCATCCTGACAGAGACAGATCAGTCAGAGACAGACGGCAGCGTCGCTGAGAGTCATCACGTCATCACACGGTCATCATCACGTCATCACACGGTCATCATCACGTCATCACACGGTCATCATCACGTCATCATCATCACATCATCACACGGTCATCATCACGTCATCATCATCACGTCATCATCATCACACGGTCATCATCACATCATCACACGGTCATCATCACGTCATCACCATCACGTCATCACACGGTCATCATCATCACGCCATCATCACGTCATCACACGGTCATCATCACATCATCACACGGTCATCATCACGTCATCACCATCACGTCATCACACGGTCATCATCATCACGCCATCATCACGTCATCACACGGTCATCATCACGTCATCATCATCACGTCATCACCATCACGTCATCACACAGTCATCATCACGTCATCACCATCACGTCATCACACGGTCATCATCACGTCATCACCATCACGTCATCACCATCACGTCATCACCATCACGTCATCACACGGTCATCATCACGTCATCACCATCACGTCATCACACGGTCATCATCACGTCATCATCATCACGTCATCACCATCACGTCATCACACGGTCACCATCACGTCATCATCATCACGTCATCACACGGTCATCATCACGTCATCACCATCACGTCATCACACGGTCATCATCATGTCATCACCATCACGTCATCACACAGTCATCATCACGTCATCACCATCACGTCATCACACGGTCATCATCACGTCATCATCATCACGTCATCACCATCACGTCATCACACGGTCACCATCACGTCATCATCATCACGTCATCACACGGTCATCATCACGTCATCACCATCACGTCATCACACGGTCATCATCATGTCATCACCATCACGTCATCACACAGTCATCATCACGTCATCACCATCACGTCATCACACGGTCATCATCATGTCATCACCATCACGTCATCATCATCACGTCATCACACGGTCATCATCACGTCATCACCATCACGTCATCACACGGTCATCATCACGTCATCATCATCACGTCATCATCACATCATCACACAGTCATCATCACGTCATCACCATCACGTCATCACACGGTCATCATCATCACGCCATCATCACGTCATCACACGGTCATCATCACGTCATCACACAGTCATCATCACGTCATCACCATCACGTCATCACACGGTCATCATCACGTCATCACCATCACGTCATCACCATCACGTCATCACCATCACGTCATCACACGGTCATCATCACGTCATCACCATCACGTCATCACCATCACGTCATCACACGGTCATCATCACGTCATCACCATCACGTCATCACACGGTCATCATCACGTCATCACCATCACGTCATCATCATCACGTCATCACACGGTCATCATCACGTCATCACCATCACGTCATCACACGGTCATCATCACGTCATCATCATCACGTCATCACACGGTCATCATCACATCATCACCATCACGTCATCACACGGTCATCATCACGTCATCACCATCACGTCATCACACAGTCATCATCACGTCATCACCATCACGTCATCACACGGTCATCATCACGTCATCACCATCACGTCATCACCATCACGTCATCACCATCACGTCATCACACGGTCATCATCACGTCATCACCATCACGTCATCACCATCACGTCATCACACGGTCATCATCACGTCATCATCATCACGTCATCACACGGTCATCATCATGTCATCACCATCACGTCATCATCATCACGTCATCACACGGTCATCATCACGTCATCACCATCACGTCATCACACGGTCATCATCACGTCATCATCATCACGTCATCACACGGTCATCATCACATCATCACCATCACGTCATCACACGGTCATCATCACGTCATCACCATCACGTCATCACACGGTCATCATCACGTCATCATCATCACGTCATCACCATCACGTCATCACACGGTCACCATCACGTCATCATCATCACGTCATCACACGGTCATCATCACGTCATCACCATCACGTCATCACACGGTCATCATCATGTCATCACCATCACGTCATCACACAGTCATCATCACGTCATCACCATCACGTCATCACACAGTCATCATCACGTCATCACCATCACGTCATCACACGGTCATCATCACATCATCACACGGTCATCATCACGTCATCATCATCACGTCATCACACGGTCATCATCACGTCATCACCATCACGTCATCACACGGTCACCATCACGTCATCATCATCACGTCATCACACAGTCATCATCACGTCATCACCATCACGTCATCACACGGTCATCATCATGTCATCATCATGTCATCATCACGTCATCATCACGTCATCACCATCACGTCATCATCATCACGTCATCACCATCACGTCATCATCATCACGTCATCACACGGTCATCATCATGTCATCACCATCACGTCATCATCATCACGTCATCACACGGTCATCATCATGTCATCACCATCACGTCATCACCATCACGTCATCACACGGTCATCATCACGTCATCACCATCACGTCATCACACGGTCATCATCATGTCATCACCATCACGTCATCATCATCACGTCATCACACGGTCATCATCATGTCATCACCATCACGTCATCATCATCACGTCATCACACGGTCATCATCACGTCATCATCATCACGTCATCACACGGTCATCATCACGTCATCACCATCACGTCATCACACGGTCATCATCACGTCATCATCATCACGTCATCACACGGTCATCATCACGTCATCACCATCACGTCATCACACGGTCATCATCACGTCATCACCATCACGTCATCACACGGTCATCATCACACGGTCATCATCACGTCATCACACGGTCATCATCACGTCATCATCATCACATCATCACACGGTCATCATCACGCCATCACACGGTCATCATCACGTCATCATCATCACGCCATCACACGGTCATCATCACGTCATCATCATCACATCATCACACGGTCATCATCACGCCATCACACGGTCATCATCACGTCATCATCATCACATCATCACACAGTCATCATCACCAGGTCATCATCATCACGTCATCATCACGTCATCACACGGTCATCATCACGTCATCATCATCGTCATCATCACGTCATCACACGGTCATCATCACGTCATCATCATCACGTCATCATCACGTCATCACACGGTCATCATCACGTCATCATCATCACGTCATCATCACGTCATCACACGGTCACCATCACGTCATCATCATCACGTCATCACACGGTCATCATCACGTCATCACCATCACGTCATCACACGGTCATCATCACGTCATCACCATCACGTCATCACACGGTCATCATCACGTCATCACACGGTCATCATCACGTCATCACCATCACGTCATCATCATCACGTCATCACACGGTCATCATCACACGGTCATCATCATCACATCATCACACGGTCATCATCACGTCATCACACGGTCATCATCACACGGTCATCATCACGTCATCACACGGTCATCATCACGTCATCACACGGTCATCATCACACGGTCATCATCATCACGTCATCACACGGTCATCATCACACGGTCATCATCATCACATCATCACACGGTCATCATCACACGGTCATCATCATCACATCATCACACGGTCATCATCACGTCATCACACGGTCATCATCACACGGTCATCATCACGTCATCACACGGTCATCATCACGTCATCATCATCACGTCATCACACGGTCATCATCATGTCATCACCATCACGTCATCATCATCACGTCATCACACGGTCATCATCATCACGTCATCACACGGTCATCATCACGTCATCACACGGTCATCATCACGTCATCATCATCACGTCATCACACGGTCATCATCATCACGTCATCACACGGTCATCATCACGTCATCACACGGTCATCATCACGTCATCATCATCACATCATCACACGGTCATCATCACGCCATCACACGGTCATCATCACGTCATCATCATCACATCATCACACAGTCATCATCACCAGGTCATCATCATCACGTCATCATCACGTTCTCATCATCAGGTCATCATCACACAGTCATCATCACATCATCATCACGTCATCATCATCAGGTCATCATCATCACGTCATCATCATCAGGTCATCACACCGTCGTCAGACCGAGAGAGAGGGGGGAGATGGGGGGAGGGAGGGAGAGAGAGAGGGAGAGAGAGAGAGAGGGGGGGAGGGAGAGGGGGAGGGAGAGAGAGAGAGGGGGGAGATGGGGGGAGGGAGAGAGAGAGGGAGAGAGAGAGAGAGGGGGGGGGGGAGGGGGGGAGGGAGAGAGAGAGAGGGGGAGATGGGGGGAGGGAGGGAGAGAGACAGAGAGGGGGGAGGGAGAGGGGGAGGGAGAGAGAGAGAGGGGGGAGATGGGGGGAGGGAGGGAGAGAGACAGAGAGGGGGGACAGGGAGGGGGGAAGGAGGCCGGCCTGTATTCACTGTCGGACCGGAGCAGGACCAGGGGCCCGTCTCAGTACGGCCCCTGGTCCTGAGATGAACATGTTGACCAGCTGAGGTTCGATTTGAGGAATAATGTTTCAGAGCCAGACGGAAACGTAGCTCTAGATTGTGGCGATTTATTATTTGAATATCTGCTCGGCCCTCTGCCGACACGCGGAGCGTCAGGTGCCGGCCTCCCCGCCGACCTGTAGACCGGGCGCCATTCTGCTTCCTCTTCCTTGTGCTGTTTTATCATTTGGAAATGTGGGGGGGGGGGGCGGTCTCCGTTCACAGGACCTTTTGTTAACGTTCCCAAATGTTAGAACGGGTTTTACCACACAGAGAGAATTAAGAACAGCTGCTGAGAGCGAAGCAGTTCTTGTTACTCTTGGTATTCTGCTAAGAGTGGCTTCTTCTTTTCACTTCAACATGTTCTCCTGTTGAAACAGCGCCATCGTGTGGCCCTCCGGCCGAACCGCTTCTCTCAGATGTCTCGTGTGTACTGATTAATCACAACGTAAACACAGAGACCGGAGCTTTCAGGGCCCCTAGAGGCCCCTGTGGTCAGTGTTACCTGGTTGGTGACGTGTGTGTCGGCTCCGTGCTTCAGCAGCAGCTGGATGATTTTAAATCTGTTGAGTCCAACAGCGTCGTGCAGCGGAGAGTCTCCCTCCTGCAACACACACACAGCGCTTATTGATCTGACAGGTTATTGATGAAACGCCGCCCGGCGCCTGTCCGAGCGGGCCGCCCGGCGCCTGTCCGAGCGGGCCGCCCGGCGCCTGTCCGAGCGGACCCCCCTCCGGCCTCTTTGTCCTCAGTAAGAACACAGCTGTGGTCTGTGACCTGATGACTGATCTGTGGCCTGATCTCAGATCTGTTTCAACACTTCATTGAGGCTGCCTCTGTCATCCATAAAACACAAGAGAAATAATGCAGATATGAGAAGGGCCCCCCTGGTAAGCTACCTAAAGCAGGGGCCCAGACACCAACCAGATTTACTGTACTTCAAATACTTGTGTACTGTCAAAACTACCCAGAGGCCCCAAGGTGTTCATTACATCAGTTAAACAGGTAGAATCCTCCCAACGGAAACATTTGGCAAATGGAAATAATATCATAGTTTAACAGATTTTATTTACACACACCCTGTCCTGCGTGTTGACTTCAGCTCCGCAGGAGATCAGGTGTTCAACACAGTCCAGGTGTCCGGTCCTCACAGAGACCTGAAGAGGAGTGCTGTCCAGCTGACACACACAGTATTTTAGTCTCACTGTCCTCCCGCAGGTTTATATTATATATATATATATATATATATTTTTAATGTCTTTGCTGATACGCTGGTTTGTGATTTACATTTTCAGACGTGTATTGTCTTGTGATTTATTCAAAAAACAATCTTGTAATGTTATTTCAGCGGGGATTTAAAAAACGTAGCGTAAGTTCTTATTACATCGTTACAATTATTTTATTTGATAGTAGTAGTATTACTGTCTGTGGTATTACCTTGTCTCTTGCAGTAATGTCCGCTCCGTGGTTCAACAGCAGTTGGAGGACAGACAGATGTCCTCCTCGACAAGCGGTGTGGACACAAGTGGACCACAGCTGAACAGAACCAGAACATTAGAAACGAGATATATAGATAGATGTTGTTGCCCCGTTCATCATGAGCTGAACTCAAAGATCTAAGACTTTTTTGTGTGTGTGCACAAAAGACCTATTTCTCTCAAATGTTGTTCACAAATCTGTCAAAATCTGTGTTAGTGAGCACTTGGTTCTAACTCCAGATTAAAACTGGGATTAAAACTGGTTCTAACACCAGATTAAAACTGGGATTAAAACTGGTTCTAACACCAGATTAAAACTGAGATTAAAACTGGTTCTAACTCCAGATTAAAACTGGGATTAAAACTGGTTCTAACACCAGATTAAAACTGGTTCTAACACCAGATTAAAACTGGGATTAAAACTGGTTCTAACTCCAGATTAAAACTGGGATTAAAACTGGTTCTAACTCCAGATTAAAACTGGGATTACAACTGGTTCTAACTCCAGATTAAAACTGGGATTACAACTGGTTCTAACTCCAGATTAAAACTGGGATTACAACTGGTTCTAACTCCAGATTAAAACTGGGATTAAAACTGGTTCTAACTCCAGATTAAAACTGGTTCTAACACCAGATTAAAACTGGGATTAAAACTGGTTCTAACTCCAGATTAAAACTGGGATTAAAACTGGTTCTAACTCCAGATTAAAACTGGTTCTAACACCAGATTAAAACTGGGATTAAAACTGGTTCTAACTCCAGATTAAAACTGGTTCTAACACCAGATTAAAACTGGGATTAAAACTGGTTCTAACTCCAGATTAAAACTGGTTCTAACACCAGATTAAAACTGGGATTAAAACTGGTTCTAACTCCAGATTAAAACTGGTTCTAACACCAGATTAAAACTGGGATTAAAACTGGTTCTAACTCCAGATTAAAACTGGTTCTAACACCAGATTAAAACTGGGATTAAAACTGGTTCTAACTCCAGATTAAAACTGGTTCTAACACCAGATTAAAACTGGGATTAAAACTGGTTCTAACTCCAGATTAAAACTGGTTCTAACTCCAGATTAAAACTGACATTAAAACTGGTTCTAACTCCAGATTAAAACTGAGATTAAAACTGGTTCTAACACTGGAGCCAGAGACCTGGTATAAACCCAGAAAGCCTTGTGGTCCTTTGAACGGTTCTTCCAGAGTCCCCCTTATGAGTGCCTCTGAGTGAGAAACTCAATTTGAAAACTGAATTCTGGACTGAATCTGAACCGAAAGCCAATATGTGAAAGCAATGAGATTTAAATTGAATTTCAAACTGTTAAATTTGATCTGAAATACAATTTAGCATACTATAGACTTTAAATTCAGATTCCATTTGTGCAGGCTTTAAAATAACATGATAAACGTCGTACCTTGTCTTTGCTGTGGACGTCGGCGCCGGCCTCCAATAGTTTGGTGACGACCTCTGCGTGACCTTGTGAGCACGCTCTGTGCAGACCTGTACGCTCAAACTGAACACAGACAGCAGCACAGACATCAGCTGGTCCAGACCGCCTCTGAACCAGCGACATGAAGAAACGTCATGCTGCAACATAAAAAGACGTTTCTCCCGTTTCCTGTCCAGGTAGCCAGCTGGCGGCCATCTTTGTTTGGGGTCACAACTTGTTAGAAATTTATGTTGCAGCAGACGGAATATTTATTGATCCGATGTTTCAGAGTCTTTAAGGATTCTGGAAACACCCCCAAAGCAAACAAACAGGAAGTGATGTTCTTAGGTTCTGTCTTTCAGAGAAAGATAATTCAGCCCTCTGGAGGCCGAAGAAAGTACGACGGGTGCAAATAAAGTCATGTGACGTAAAGAGAAAGTCCACATAACGCGGTGGACACATGGGTCAGGATCAGGATCAGGGTTCGAGTCATGTGAAAGTCAAAATAACGCTACGTCAAATGACTTACAAACCCAACGGCGGCGTTAACCCGTCATGTGACTTACATCACCTTCAGGTCCGGTACACCTCAGAAAGTGAAACGTTCATTTACTCTCGACCCGTTTGGCCGTTCAGGTGTTAAAAATCGTTTTTAATTCCCTGTTCTTGTCTTTTCCTTTGATCCTGAGCTGTGAAGCAGGTTCAGGATCTTCTTCAATTCAACTCCTACCACATGATCAATAATCTGGTTGTTCTAGCGTGGCACTTTACCGCCCTCTGCTGTTGGGCCGCAGCCGAGGGTGGAGGACTCACAGCGTCGCAGGCGTTGACGTCTCCACCTGTGGACAGGTATCTGTCCATCACCAGCAGCTGCTTCTGATCACAGGCCTTAAAGAAATCCTCCTCGTCCACGTAGTAAGGCTGCGAGACACAAACAGTCGCCCGTCACGTGATCACATGATCACCAAGTCATGAACAGCTTCTTTCTGGTTATGAAACGGTCAGCGATGAAATGTACTGGTCTGTAATCAGTCTGACTTCTGACTCTGCAGGTGACGCTGAAGACGTCACTGTGCGATCACCTGGTTACCTGTCCAGGGGAGGACGTGTCTTACCACGGACTGCGCAGCAGGGGGGGCTGCAGGTCTCCTCACAGCAGCTTTCTGATCCCTCTTGGTCTTCCTCAGCAGCAGGAGGTTCTGAAGGTCAGCAGGAGTCTCCAAGAGGAGACGGCCCGACGTGTCCGTCTGCAGGAGGACAGACAGACAGTGGAAACAAAAGCAGAAGCTGTAGTCAGCACAGTCCCAGCTGGTCTCAGACTCTTGGTCAGACCTCTGGCGTCGCTTTTTCCCCGACGTCCCGTCAGACTGATCAGCAGAGGATCAGCTGATGTTTGTTTCCTCCTACCTTGAGGCTGATTGGACCGCCAGAGTCCTGCTTCTCCTGAGAGACAGACGCCTCGTAGCCTCCGTCCTCCCTCTGCTGGAGACGCACAGAGACACAAGTGTCATTATGTGATTATAAAACTCTTTGTTAGCGAGACTGGTTCAGACCGGAGCGGGTTCAGGTCTTTCAGGAAGGTTCCAGGTCACAGGCATGCAGACTGCTCAGGGGTAAAGAAGACCGGACCTTCCTCCTGTAACATCGCTCTTTCGGCGTGTTCACAGGAAGAGGACGGGAAACTTGGCAAAAAGAAACGGTTGTTAAAGTTGTTAAAGTTCCTGACCTCATTTTATACTCAGCAGCTTGTTTATTCTTACTTAAAAAAAACACATCAGTGCACATAAACCTTTCTCACAGCACTTTGAAAACATGAAATGAACCGACCAAAGCATTTATCAACAAACGCTTTCAAGACGTGACGGGGACGTGTCCCCAGTGTCCCCCGTGTCCCCCACACGTTGCATCCAAGCTGCTGCTCTGAACGCTTCGCTCAGCCAACAGTACTAACAGCAAAGCTCTGAACTCAGCGTGACCTGACAGGACAGCTGACGCTGAGCGTGTTCGGCAGTCTTTTACCGTCCTCACCTGTCAGACTCTGCAGCGTGGTGGACTGGAAAATAGTCCCGCCCTGCGCTGCCTCTGATTGGCTGTCGGGGGCATTAGGGGAGACGATCGGTTAGGCACAGCCAGGTGTGGGGCAGGGGTCGGCCTGACTGCCGTCTTAGCATCGACCCCCCTCCCAAAGGTTTTCTCTTCTGATCTGCAAAAATCACGCCGGTGAGCCATTTTGGTTTCAAAACGGCTAATTTCGCTGAAAAGGTGAGGAGTTTGCATGCCTGAGGTCAACAGATGTCCGTTTGTCTCTGTCTCAGTACCATGGCTGTCTCCAGGTGTCCCCTCCGCATGTTTTAAAGTAGTCCGACGCCTTCAGTGTCACAGAGGGAGCTGTGGGACGTCTGACAAAAAAAAGTGATGTCACTTGAGACGGCGTCGGTGGAAGACGAGTCTGAAACAGATCTGTTGGTGTGGAGACCTGCAGTCCTCTACCGGAGACGTTTCGAGGACACACGCCTCTTTAAGAACCCTCAGTCCGACTGTAATGATCCCGCCCCTCCTGCTAGAAAACCAGCTGTCTGCTTTTTAACAGCCGAGCCAGTCATGTGGCCCCGCTGGCGTCAGGGTCTACCGCGGCGTGGAAGCTGCGGGGGGGAATGTTTTCTGAACCTTATTTTGGGGCATCAGACTGCTTCAGTTCAGTCTTCAGACGGTGATGTTCTGTCTTTTCTCTGCAGCTGTCAGCGAACACAGATTCTGCACGAGGTTTTGACCGTGAGCAGAAAATCTGCTGAAACACAGGAGCTGTTAAAGTCCAGGAGTTTATCACAGAGTTAAATAAAACAATTTGTCATTATGATGAAAAGGAGCCACGGTTACATTTATAGATGTCACTTCCCCAAACAGAGACACAAAGAGGAGGGACGGCTGAATCCTGACTCAGCAGATATTAAAGACGTTGATCTACAGCAGAAACAGACCTGAGAGCAGCACTGAGTTAGACTCTGTTCCAGTTTCCTTTACAGAAACATTTCCACCAGAAACTGATGCAGAAGGTTTGACCAGAACGCAGGAAATGAACTTTTTAATGCTCAACGTGTTCAGGGGGAGGAGCCCCACTCCCCCTCCAGTGTTCAAATGAAACCTGGACTTTTACATTTCTACAAAAACGTCCCCATAGATTCACCAGAAGGACAGAAACGTTCCCAGATCCCAGGTCAGCTTCTCCTTCAAACACCCAGCTGATGGATGTAGTGTTTTCAGAAGGTGAGAAGTACTTCAGAAAGTACCCGGGAAGTATTAGCAGAAACACGTTTATATAAAGAGAGAGGGACGAACGTTTGTGTTCAGTTTCATGAACACCGTCCTGGCGTCTGGATTAAAGGACGAACACACTCTGTTCACAAGCTTCAGATCTTCCCCTTCTGTGACTTTGAGTCATAAAGCTTTATTTAAACCCAGAAATAAAGGGATGACCTCTGACCTCTCTTACAAAACTTTATGACAGCGTAAAGAGGAAGCCTCAGTTTACAGCTCCCTGCGTGAGTTGGACATGACCTTCTCTGGTGTCATTTTATTGGCCAATTACTTCCCAAAATGGAGGGGTCAGAGGTCGGCGGGGGTCACGTGGCCTAGAAAGTTTAGTAAACAGCCGAAACCTCTGTTCTACTTTCTTGTTCATGACCGGGTCGCAGAAAGTGCAGCGTTTCTTCCACTCCGAGGCTGCGAGGGAGAAAAAGACAGAAGCAGCTCTGCACTGAGACCGTCAGCTGATAGGTGGACCATCGTTTACACGCTGCTGATGTCACTTTGTTATCCACCAATCACATGTCAGACGTCAGAAATATTCTTCTTACCATCATCCTCTTCTCCTCTTCATCGTCCTCCTCTTCCTCCTCCCATCTGATCGGCTCCGATCTGACAACAGAAAGAAAAACTAAAACCAGGATCTGTTTCTGCCCCCCCCCGAACACCCGGGAGACTCTTATTCTGAAAGGTTCTCCAGGTTCAGACAGCTTCATGGGTTCCGTACGGGGAACGTTCTCAGCGTGATGTCTGAGTTTAATTCCATATTTAAACAGTTTCAGATCCGTTTGTTTAAGCTGGTTCATTACTCACACATAAATATGCAAATGAGCCAGGATCTAATGAAACATGCGCTAATTTGCATCTATTTCAAGATCTGAAATCTGAACACTGGATTAAATCCGGTTCAAACTTGGTTTTATTTTGTCAACACAGACTCAGATGTTTTGGGGATTCAGGATCATTTCAGAATCAGAAAATTCTGTCAGCAGCCATAAAAAACTATTTGACCCATATTTGGGAATAAAATGTTCTGTAGTTCAGGCGGTGAATGAAAACTTAACAAACCTGCAGAATAGAGTCGGGAGTAAAAGTGTCTGTAGGAGCTGCTGAGCAGAAGATTTTAACTGACATTAAACTTCCCTGTTCTGTACTCACATGCAGACTATTATTTTCTGGATTACAGGTTCTGTACAAATGTTATCTTCAAAAATGCAAATGAGGCAGTCTCTCACGCTAAGCTTTGGCAGTAAAACAAACACCTAAATGTCTATTTGTGTCTTCGTTCCTGTGGGCTAACACAAATCAATTCTCCCAAAACATCAAACCTGACGAGTCTTACTGTCGGATCACTGCCTCAGAGGATGTACACTGTGTACTTTTACACAACACTGCAGTTTTTAACAGTAACTAGTTTTATTACATCAGACGGTCACAGAGTTTCAGAGCTCCTGCAGCACGATCAATAACCAATAATCAATATATCCAGCTCACCTCTGCAGCTCCATGCTCTCACAGCAGAAGAAGAAGGATCTCTGAGGTGATGAGACGCTGCATCAGGCCTCCTAATATACACACACACACACACACACACACACGTGTTTGTGGCGACCTTTGACCTCGCTGGTTGAACTTGCAGGAGACAGCTGCTAACTCCGTCTGACCTCCCAGTAACCAGAGAAGAAGAAGAACTCAGGTTTTATTAGAGGTAGTAATCAGAGTACTGGGAGTATTAGACATTCAACTCAAATGTATATGTAAGTACTACTAGTATTCAATTCAATTTTATTTATATAGCGCCAAATCACAACAACAGTTATCTCACAGCGCTTTTCATAAAGAGCAGGTCTAGACCGAACTCTGTGATGTTATTTACAGAAGCCCAACAGTTCCCACCAAGAGCAGCACTAGGAGACAGAGGCAAGGAAAAACTTCCTTTAAGAGGCAGAAACCTCGAGCAGAACCATGGTTCAGGGTGGGCGGCCATCTGCCTCGACCGGTTGGGGAGAGAGAGAGAGAGAGAGAGAGAGAGAGAGAGAGCGAGAGAGAGAGAGAGAGAGAGAGAGAGAGAGAGAGAGAGAGAGAGAGAGAGAGAGAGAGAGAGAGAGAGCGAGAGAGAGAGAGAGAGCGAGAGCGCGAGAGAGAGAGAGAGAGAGAGAGAGAGAGAGAGAGAGAGAGAGCGAGAGAGAGCGAGAGAGCGAGAGCGAGAGCGAGAGCGAGAGCGAGAGAGAGAGAGGGAGGCAGCCTACACAATATACACACAGAGGTACAGACAGCGAAGGTAATGTTGCTATAAACTAGTAGCAGTAAAGTAGTTTAACATTATGACCACCTGCCTGATACCGTGCTGGTCCCCCTTCGGCTGCCAAACAACCCTGACCCACCAGGACCTGGACGCGCCATCAGGCCTCTGCAGGTGTGCTGTGGTATCTGGCACCAAGACGTTAGCAGCAGATCCTTTTAAGTCGTGAGTTAGGGGCTCCGTGGACCGGAGGTGCTGGACTGGACTGAGATCTGGGGACTCTGGAGGCCAAGTCAACACCTCGACCTTTGTTTTGTGGCTCATTATCCTGCTGGAAGGAGCCATCAGGGAACCGTTTCCACGAGTGGACGTAACGGCAGGACCCAAGGTTTCCCAGCATCACACGGCCTCCGCCGGCTCGCCTGCTTCCCACAGTGCATCCTGGTGCCATGTGTTCCCCAGGTGAGCAACGCACAGGCACCTGGCCGTCCAGCTGATGTAAAGGTTTTTCCTACAGATGCAGCAACACTAGTGAAAACAAAGCAGTTTCCCCCTTGCAGACCTCACCAAGGCCTCAGCGGAGGACCACCTGCTGCCTTCCAACAAACTCCCCTTCAACACCAACCCTGCAGGGGGCAGCTTCAGGTACCTGATCCGGGTTTTTATCTCATGACGTGATCACTCAGTGAAGCCCATAAGAGCATGCAGCTAATCCACTCTCCCCCCCTTTGGTATACATTCTTCTCCCAGGGTCCGGATCTGTGGGGTCCGGATGCAGGCTTTCTGCTGCCCCCATGTTCCTGCTCGACCCCCGCTTTACAACCATTACTTTACGTGTCCGTGTGGTCTGCAAGCTATTGGAGCTTCAGTTAAAATAAAACTCTCCCACCTGTTTTCTTTATCAAAGATTCTCTCTTTCTGAACTAATGGCCTCATTAAGTCTTCGTCAGACACACTTCACAGAAACTAACGATCCCCAGCTCTGGTCTGGGGGAAATAAATCCATAATTCAGCAAGTAAGAAGTGAAAATATCCTTCCTCTCTGATGCCCGACCCCCCTCTCAACGCCTCTCTTGTCCCCGCCTGAACTCGCCGTGTCTTCGTCCCCCCCGGAGTCAGAGTCCTGGTCACAGCCGCTCTAATTTACCTTGTACTGATCTCCCTGTTGTCAAACTGGTCTGCGTCAGAGGCTGCTGAGCCCGGTTCTGTGGCCCAGTCAGCCAGCCAATAGGACAGCTAAGTTAGCTGCACGGCTAACTGAGTTGTGCTGCCCCCTATCTTTCTGGAGTATGAATTCAACAGGTGGAGTCTCCGTTCTGACACACTGTACCTTTAAACAGAAAACCCGAAGATGACGAGTCAAGTCAGCCGCCGTGTTTCCATCCAACTGTCTAACCGTCAGCTGGTCTGGAGCGAATAAACTCGGCTACAGAGAGCGGAGTTACACGTGGCTGTAGTTGATAGAGATGCAACAAATGCATCTTCAGGAATGTGTTTCAGCTGGAAACTGGATGCAAATCGGTTCTAGACTCATTAGCGGTGAGCAGGTTCATCCTGACTGCTGTGGTGTCTCACAGGTTCCACTTCCTGTCAGGAAAACAGCAACCAGCTGGAGTCAAATATTTTATTTGGTTTCTTACAAACAGATCATGGCAGCGCTTTCTCACAGTTTAAACCCAGAAACATCTTCCACACACACACACACACACACACACACACACCACTAATGATGATCACTATTCTCCCACAATGCAAAGCTTTCTTTCACAGATTACATCATTTCCTGTTGGTACGCAGAGGTAAACTAGCAGTACTACGTGCTGCGCGTCCTGTGTCCAGGTTCACTCTGTTCTGATCAGCTGGGGGACGTGAAGAACTTCCTCCCCGGTTCTGCTCGGCCCCTGAAGAGAAAACAAACAGCAGAAAAGAGCCGTTGGAATATGAAGTCCAGTCCCCGCGAGTCCACCACCTGACACCTTCAGAGCCGAGTTACCCATCAGGCACAGGGGGCACAGACCTCCAGGAGACTCCGGGACCTTTTCAACACTGATCAGAGAAGCAGGAGCCTGGCGTAACCATGGCAACCGCAGAACTCCGACTTTACTGACCCAAGTTGACCCAAAGAGTCTGATCAACAGGTAAACTACTCGCACCACTGATCAGTAAAGCGGACTCGGTGAAGAACCTTCAGGCTCGTGCTGGACTCCCTGTGGTCAGACCAGAACACGTTATATATCCCATGAGGCCTGGGGACACCTCAGAGAGCTGGACAAGGTCTGAATGATTATTCTATCATTTAGTCGAAAATGAGACCAGAACAGATTCAGTTTCCTGAGACAGAAGACGGAAATACAGATGGAACCAGAACTAACTGATGATTCGACTCCAGGACTCAGACCAGCAGAAGGTCTTTCTACTGGCTGCTGGTCCAACAGGGACAGACCTCTGATCGGCCGCTGGGCTTTAATAAACCCATCAGGGGTGTTGGTAGTGGACTCAAGGTTGGACCAGGAACCTGTACTACGAAGCAGGAAGTGAGCTTAGCGAGGTAACTTCGGGGTTAACCCTGGGTTTTCAGACTTCTAGCAGCTACCTGTTCCAGGTAACAGATCAACTCTATGAACACACACCGTCTGCTCAGCAATCAAATCCGTTTTATGGCATGAATGGATTTTTGTTTCGCTGCTTTTGGAACAGCTGCGCGTGTTAAATAAAGAAATCTGATGTTCTTAAAGTGAGCTGGACGACCACTTATTCAGAGCCCGAGGCTTTTAATGTGGAAACGGCTTCATGGTACGGGCCCCTGGTCTGCGGTGGACTTACGTGCTGGAGACAGTGTTGCCCAGGTTCACGATCCTGCCTCTCACAGATGCTCTGCTGGGAGTCTTATAGTTGCTGTTCAGCTCCGGAGACGTCAGAGGCCTAAACAGCCGACCTGCAAACATCACAACACGTCAGGAGAGGCGTTACTTTCATCAGACGGAACTAAACGAAATGTATTCGTCAACGACCGTGTCCTCAGACGCTGGGACTACATTAACACGCAATAATAAAAATAATATCGTTAATAAATAAATAATCTTTTTGTCAGTAATGAGGAGACAAAATATCACAGGCCATATTTTCTCCCTCTACATTTTCACTTGAACAGCGTTCAGCGGCGTTTGTTCTTCCTGTGCTTTGAATGCTGGCCGACCGGGGCGACGCCTGGTGCGCGAGGACACAACACGCTCGGGAGAATGAGGCGCTCAGACATCAGCTCCCCTAAAAGCATGACTTGTGATATTTTGGGGGTCTCTAAAATATTGACAGCTGCTTTATTGACATTAGAGTTCAGGGGGAGGAGCCCCACGCCCCCTCCAGTGCAGAGCGTCAGACTTCAACCAGCCAGAGGGAAGACGGTCGCTCCGCGATCTCCTGGCCCTGGTCCGCCCCACTCCCTCTCCGGTACGGGTCGTGTCGCGGGACGGCAGACGCGCTGCGAACAGTTGGCGATCGTTCCCTCTGGCTGGATGAATATTTCCCATGATCCCTGTAGGCCTACTGCTGCAGCTGGGGGCTCTAAACTCTCTCTCACGGAGAAAAGAAAGGCCAGGTCTCAAACACAGCCGCAGCAAAATGGCTACAAATGATCATTTTTATTATTATAATAATATTAATAAGACAAACCCACTTTCACAGTGGGCCCCTGGCCTACATGCTTCAGCAGTAAGGATTAGACTAAAAAGATGCTTAATGACTAAAACTAGACTAAAAACAGTAGTATACAGTCGACTAAATATGACAAAAACTAACAAGGACATTTGACACAGGACTAAGACTGAATTTAAAAATGGCACTAACACTATTAACACTAATCAGGAACAAACCAAGCCCTGCTTTGGTTGTCGTTTACTCAGAAGAGAAGATCATCTGGTTTCGACTGTGCTAGTTCGAACGGGGGTAAGAGACTTGTTGACGGACCCAGCTGATCATTTTTCAGCCGGGACAGCAGTGACGGACAAACTGATGCTGCCGCTGCGAACACAAGAGACCACTGATGACACGTACAGCGTCTGAAACTCACCGTGTCCGTCATCCTGGCTGTAGGTCGTAGTGCTGGAGGACGAAGACGGGATCTGATCCATCTGGGAGGAGAGGACACGTCTCCAGTAGACTTCAGGGAGGGACAACATGCAGCAAATAACCTGAGACGAGAGCAGAGGCCATAATGAAGCGCTCAGGGGAAGGACGGCATTTGTTCCGCCCTGCAGCCGCTGCTCCGAA